TCTAAACACCATTGTTTTTATCCCTTCTACCTGGGAACAAATACAAACATATACAGTTCACATATATGTATGTATGGGTCACACATATGTACATACAGATCACAGTGGGTCACCTAATCTAATTAAGAGTTTGTATGTTTCCCCAAACCAAGTCAGGTTTTCTTATAGGATCACTGATTCAGCCTTTCCTCTTCTCCTTGGACCTTATCTGTGGGAACAAAGGCCTGGGAGACCTTCTCAGTCCAGACTAAGGCAAAGAAGGTATTGAGCATCTCAGTCCTGTCCATGTCTAGATTGCTCATCTCACCTGATGGCCCACATTTTCCTTGTTTTTCTTTTGCTGTGAAAGTAAAGGAAGAAACACTTCCAGGAACCACCAATGTCAACTCAAGCCGAGATTGAGTTCTCTTAACGCCACCCCTATATAGTGGGTCTGTATTTTTTCTGTATTTCTCATTTATACCTCTCTTAACTTTCATCCACTGTATCGTTATGGGCCTCTCTTGTGCTTGGAGGAGTCTGCTCTGAAGACTTGCCAGCTCTTCTGGGCTCTATCACATTCACAACTGCCTCCCACTGCATTCAACTTAGCCAAAGACCTGTGCTGGATGCTGTTTTCCGTTACATTAATTTTGCTTATTTCTGTTGTTTTTAAATTTCATTTTAGTTGGAAAGAATAAAAGATGAGGAAGGAGTTTTAGAGAAGTCAAAGCATATTTGACTCATAAATTCAAACCAAAGTGTTCCATAAAAAGTTGTTTCTTCCTGTTTAGTGGAGTGCATACATGATTTTTATTTCATATTCTCATTTTAACTGAGGGAATCAGAATATATTTCATTTACAATTGGAATAAAGTAGACATTTTTATTCAGCCATTATCCTTTTTGGCCAGATTTGTTTGCTTGATAATTTGAGGGGATTTGAGTTCTGAAACTCTGAAAATCCGGCTGCTTTGTCTGTGGCTCAGCTTTGTCTTTCACTGCTCTCTGAAAATCTGAAAATGTGTTTTTGATAGAGAGAGGATCAACTCCAAATCATAAAACTAACTAACCCTTCAAACTTTAGGGAATTCAAATTGCCAACCAGGCTTCAGTCCCGAGTTTGGTAAATGTCAATGCCGTTCCTTGGGCAGCAAAGCAAGCTGAAATAAAAGTGTTAAATAGGATGGGAAGCTGCCTTAATTACTTGAGATGGGGAGCTGCCTTAATTACTCAAAACAAATGTATTTCTTTTCCGGGAGACATTTAATTCAGGAATTCTTAGTTATTTCATATCTTGTGACACTGCTTAGCCTTCTAATCTGGTGCTTTGGTCAGATGGAGAAAAGCAAAAAAACAGCTGTTGATTAAATGGCGTAGATGTCATTACATGACTGCAAAAATGCCAGAAAGTTGCCCCATTTGCACTCATAATTTGTAAGTAATCTAGAAATATGCTTTGAGGCAGTGACTTCATCTATAAAGAATTACCAGTTCAAAGTGTATTAGTACATGACTGCCTAATATGGCTTGGCATTAAGGGTTTCTACATCAGCATTAATTGGATTAAATTACCTGCAGTGAAATATGAGCCTTTTGAGGAAAGCAATTCTTGTCCTTCTGGCTGTAGAAGCATAAAATGCAGGGGGGTGAGGAGTGGAAGTAAAAAGAAAGAAGGAAAGAAGGAGGTAGTGTTCAAACAGGCTTTGTTTTAAGGCAGAATAAGAGTGAGTTTGGACATGCTGTGGGTGTGACATGGTGGCCAGGGAGTGGTGAGAAGGGACAGCCCTTGGGCTGGAAGGGGTTTTGCTGTCAGACCTGCCAGGTGAAGAGCAAAGCCCCAGCTGGGGTGTGATGCTGCGGAGCAGCAGTCAAGTCAGGCGTAGTGGGGACCAGGGACCGGTGGGGTCAGGGGAATGGCTGGGACCTTGTGAGCCACCTTGGGGTGCAAGGAGAGGGCACAGGACAGAGGAACCCCGACTACAGGGGAGAGCTGCGGGAGGAACGGGATGGTGTCAGGACGGCACAGGCACAGTGCTTCAGGAGGGTGAGGGAACTCACAAATTCAGTTACCCACTGCCTGCAACAAGGGACATTGGTGAGACAAGGTCACTCTGTAGATCAGCATTTACAGTGCTCCCTACCTGCAACTGATATTATGAAGCTCATGTATCTTATGTGGAACCAGTAACTTGATGTTGCTAACTTAGATCCGCTGAATGTACAAACAATGTCTTCTAAAATATTACCCACATTTCATCCCAGATATCTTGGCTTTGTTTTAGTATTTTGTTGGGTTTTTTTTTTATTATGAGTAAAATCATAGAATCTGTATTTGTTGCTCGTCTTTACTACTGTGCTTTGTCGATGAATAGAAACAAGCCCCACAAAGCATTCTGGTGCCTCATGATCGCTGAGAAAGATGAGGGCATGAACCGTGTTACTGGTGTATGAAGACTGAAGAGATGAGAAGAAAATACCCTTTCTAATAAATTAACATTACCATAGCAGCAGTTGTAAAAACAGTTGGGGTGATCTGATTAATAAGTTTTTGCTGTGTCTATGTGAATGTAACTTTACAGCAAACGGTTTAGATATTGCTAAACAAAGGTACCGGGTACGAATAGGTCCAACTTAGAAAAAAAAATCTCTGTGGACAGAGCTCCATCCCGCTAGCTGCTTACCATTTTTTTCGTATTGATAAGGGCAGGGCACACGATCAGCGTTACCCTGCTGAAGTGATCCTCAGAGACGTGGCCTGTTCTCTGGAATTTTCTGGAATTTAGCTGACCAGAAGCCGTGGGTGAACGTGCAAGTGTGCTCCTGGGCAGGCCCTGCCCCAGTGCCTTCTGACCACCCTCAGCAGCCACTGCGGGCCACTGCAATGTTATGTGTCTAGATACGCTTTTAATCTAAGTGTATGATTGTTATAACTTAACAAAGCATATTTATTACCCCAGAGTTTTTCTTTTGCACAGTAAAAGTCTGATGCTTTGTGCATGAAATGTGTCTTTTCAGCGGAGCCACCAGCCTTTTCTATACGTGTTCATACGCTACTGACAGGAATTTCATCATGTACATCGATGCACACTAACTTATTTCATTGTGTAGCTCACGATCTTATTTCAGAATGCCACACATAGGGTCAGTTAACTCTGACAGCCTGATGTTGTCAGAACATCTTGGGGCTTATGACTAATGACATAAAGTCTTGTGCACTTACTGGTCAATGGAGGAAATCCTGTGAGTCTTTATTTCCATATGACATCGTGGTATTAAATGACTGGCAGACGTGAAGGCAGGCTGTAGAACAGAGGTTATGAAAAATCATTGAATAAGACTGATAGTTGTCTGCTACATGAACATCAATGGCTAATGCTCATTGATGCAATTTCTCTCCATTTTCTGCAATTTTCATGTTGAATATTGCAATTAAACCACATAGCCAGAAGCCTTCACTCCTACAAAAAATACCACTCCCAGAAGATTCATCATACTAACTTTATAGCATATACCTAAAAGCCTTCGCTCCTACCAAAAATACCACTCCCAGAAGATTCATCATACTAACTTTATAGCACATACCTTATTCACAGTCCATAACTTTCCCTTTTTCATCTTTTTAAAAGCTCCATAAAAAATGACGGATTCTGGCTAGTATCAATTACTCTCTGAAGCGCTGAATAGTAGCTGTTAGATGGGCCATGACTCTCGTACATACATCATCAATTCCTTTTACTCACAATCTGAGGTAGTCTGGATCTTGCCCTGTATGCTTTAAGGGAGGACTCCTCTTTGAAAATTGTTGCTCTGTAAGTGCTATGACAGTGGAGGTTTGACTGGCCAGCTGTAGTTATCTAAAGTGGCTGGGTTGCAACTTCTCCTCAACAAGCAGAGGAGCTGATGATTAAGGGAAGATTCTTTTCCTGACAATTGGAAATGGTGAGTAGAAGTACATATGAAACCAAAAGTGTTTCCATGCTATGGCAGTAATGGCACCAGAAAACCCAATTCAGGCACAGTGGATTGTTGTTTTTTCAAAAATTAGGGGAGCCAGAAACAAATCTTATGCACTTGTTGTTTAGAATTTTTTTGAAAATAACAAGCCTTCATCTCTGGACTCTCCTCTCTGTCATCTTTTTAGCTTGATTATACCTCCATTTTTAGCTTGAATTCTTATATCTCACCCAGGTGGAGCTGAGAAAACGGGATGAGGCCCATTCATTGAGGCTTGCTTGCTTGTACTGAACATTCGACAGCGAAAACAAATTTTGCAATGTGATTAGTTTTCATAGAGCCTACTTTGTTTACTGGCTGAAACCAGCTAGAAGCAGTAACTCCACAACTTTCTTCAAACCTAAACTTCCAAATATCTTGTGATGGGTATTTACCTTTTTCATCCAGCCCCAAGCTGTTTGGAGGTCAGCATGTGAGAAATTATTACGTCTTGTCAAGGCTTGGACACCAGTAGTTCCCCGTGTGTCAGCTGCAATGCTCTCTCTGCACCAGGATAGATCTGCAGGTCATGTGTAGACTACGGGTCACATGCTGGAGAACATCTCTGGTGCCCGTTGGAAGTTGTGATCGTGGGGCACTGGATCCTTGTGAGCAATGACCTTCAGCAAGTCAGTCTCAGAAAGAGATTCAAGTCAAAATTCTGGTAGAATAATTCCCATGCCTGAGCCTTAAAGACTTTTAACTTGCTTGAAGTGGGCCACACTAATCTGACCAAGGATTATCAAGGGAAAAAGAAAAGCAAATACTGTTCTGTTCTCCAAGGGGTCTTTTCAGCACTTTTTAAACGTGACAAATTTCCTAAGAGCCTATATTCAAGAAAGATAGCGTTTCTGTTGGAAATACATCCTAGTACTGTTTGAATTAAGAAGTCTGTAAAAAACTGAGTCAGTATGGGCATAAAGAACTTGCCATTAGTTTGGTGTTTTGTTTGTTTCTTCCTTCAGGGAAAAAAAAAAGTCCAACACAAAATAACACAACTTTAACTACGACTTCTATATCTTCAGGGATTAAACATCTGAAGAGCCAGAGTGATTCATCGTTTCCAGAGGAAGAAGAGGGAGTTAGTGAAAGGGAAGAGGATTGGGGCCATTAAACAGCACGGAGCGGCCTCGGAACCCCGTCATGGAGAGTAACTGAGCTGTGCAGCTGCGGGTGCATCAGACCAGCCACCGCCGCTTCTGTCCCTGCACCGGCGTGCCGGCAGCACCGGGGCACCCTTGGGAGCACCCTCAGCTGGGTTGTACAGCCACCTGCAAACGTGTTCTGTGGTACTTACACCTGAAGATACTACAGTTATTGTAGAGTCATTTATTCTTTCATTTTCTATGACTTAGAGATGTAATTTGCAAATGCGTTAGTGACCTGACATCAGTACTGCCAGAGCTTAACTACTGTGTGTGAGCTGTACTCTAAGGCCTGTTGTAAATAAAACTGATTTAAAAGCTACAAAATAAATATGTTCATTTAGACAAGATTGTACATTGTATAGTGGATTTGTCTAGCGTGCAGCTAAACATTTGTGTAAAACGATCTTTTTAGTTAAGGGCAGATTTACCACAGTTAGGTAGAGTTACTTGCAGTAATCTAGACAGAAACAAAGCAAGCAGAAGCGACTCTTAGTCTAGAGAGGGACCCAAAGACACTCTTCCCCGTGTTCCCTCAACACGCAATGCTTAAAATCTCTGTCTTGCTTTTGGTCTGAGACTGCCTAGTCACATCAGCCAAACAGATTTCTCTTTACACAAGATCATTGTTATCTGGAGGCATTAGAGAAACTCTCAGTTTGGGAGTTAGAGGAAATACAAGGAGAGTGTGAGACCTGTGAACAGTCTCATGCAGCAGCCAAGCCATGGGAAATGCCAAAAGTGACCTCCATCACCTGCAGCAAGCGGAAGGTATAGCCTTTACTGAGAATGAAAGCCAGGCTACGCTGCGTTTGTCACAGTCTCAGCCAGTAAAAGGTAGCACATCAAGGTATGGTGATCTAGCACTTGTCCGAGCCCTAGTGTTTTTAGTTTAAGTTTGGCATGGTTCATAACAACATTTTCATCAGTCAGACTATGCAAATTCTATGGCATAAAATGAAATAAGGTGGAGAAAGAAAACTATGTTTCCTCAAAGTCATGCTTGATCAATGGTCAATTTCAAGTCAATTCACTGCTGATTTGCATTAGCTGTTTGCCTTTGATATAACATTTTACCCCAGTTCTACTTTCCACAGCTTTAAGTCTCTTCTAAAGGGCTGAGCTAGCACAAAAAAAAAAAGAAAAAGAGAAAGAAAAAAAAAAGAGTTGAAGTGTATGAAAACATAGAGCCTTTTGTCTATGCCTTGCATGATGATTTCACTCTCAATCCGAGGCCTTCTACGAAGACTTGCTGAGAACAGGATCTGTTAACAAGTGCTTCTTTATATTTGTGAGCCATCTTTTTGCCCTCCATCTGTACCTGTCCCCTCTGTTGCCATTTTCTGTAGAAACACTGCAAACAGGATCCGTGACTCCAGCTCAGCATGGGTATGCAAGAAGGACTTCTGTTGTACAGAAGCACCTACAGGCCTTAGGGGACCGAGGGGTTTTTTATGTCACGAACAACAAAAAGAAGCAAGTGACCCTTCAGAAACCACTTGAATAGCCCCAAATTAAGATTGGAATAGTAGAAAGAAGAGCTGAGCTCTGGTCCCAACTTTGCCACAACCTTGCTTTCACAGAGCATCAGGCTCTTCACATAGTTGCCAGGTACTCTCAGTTGTAAAAGTCACCAGTGTTTAATCTCACACCATCTATCTGGGTTGCTAATAAAGTGCTTTTGGTATTAATGGCTTTTTGTTTGCTGGTGATTAGTACCCACAGGCTTCAGATGAGGACTGTCTAGGACTTACAGGCAAATGAAAAAATGCACGTGATTTATAACACTTGATAGCAAGACAAGGTATTGAACATTTTGGGATCTCAACATTTCAAAGGCAACACAAAACACCTGGTAAGAGCTTGGAGAACTCATCACTGAATGTCCTGTTTCAGGATGACTGTTGGACTTGAGGATGATTACACTTTATAAATAACAGGGAAAAATAAAAAATAATAGATTTAGTTTGAACTAGATCTGAGTGTTTCCAGGATTGTTACTGTAGCAACAAGAGGATAACAGTTCTGTTTTACAGCTGTTATCTGGTTGAAGTATCAGTGTCTGGTAGAAGCCTTGGATAGCCATACCAGTATTTAGACGCATTTCTAAATCCAGGTCTTATCATCTCCCCATCTCTAAATATTCCAGCTGTGTTTTATCATTTTAAGAGCCTGTTTCTTTCTCTCCTTCTTGACCCAAGGTTATGCAAGCAGCATGTCTGAGCACAGGAATAGACTCTTCCTTTCCGGCAAAGGGACAGGACTTGTTGCAGACATTTTACTATAGATCCACCCTGACATCATTGGCTGCTGTGACCTCATGTGGAAGACAAAGTTGCGATGCACATTTTTCTTCAGATATTTTTAGCTTAAAAAGACAAGCAGGCCCTGTTTGTCTGATCTCCCACTTATGAGGCATACAGTAAGTGGAGTTCTAAGGAAAGAATCAGTAAAACAGCAGAATCCAGAAAAAAAGTACTTGTCATGAAAGCAGAGCTGAAGCACCACAGTTGATTGTCAGAGAACTCCATGACACAAGAACCTGGGTGAAAGGAAGGGCAGGAAAGGGAGTCTGCTTACTAAACTAGGTCTTTTCTGGGGCTTGGCACAGCCTCTGACATTTAAAAACAGCAGCCTTGGAGAGTCTCTCATATGCTTTGGCATGCAATTGAAAGCTCTGGTCATCTCACAGCATGGTGAGCTCCACATAGGTACACTACACTTGAACGATATAGATCTTTGGGGGGAGTCAGTGGTCAATCACTGTTGCCCAACACGTTTTATCATAGAATCATAGAATCATAGAAGGCCTAGGCTGGAAGGGACCTTAGATATCATCTAATCCAACCTCTCTGTCATGGGCAGGGATGCCTCTCAACTAGATCATGATACTCAAGGCTCCATCCAACTTGGCCTTGAACACCTCCAGGAAGGGGGCAGCCACAACATCTCTGGGCAATTTATTCCAAAGTCTTGCCGCCCTCAGACTGAAGAATTTCTTCCTAAGGTCCAATCTAAATCTATTCTCCTTCAACTTAAACCCATTTTCCTTTGTCCTATCAAAAGCACAGATTAACACACAGAAAAAGATCCATTAATGACAGTAGAGAAAAAATTAGTGAACACCAAGTATCTCAAAGAAAATGTCAACATGAAAACACTGTAAAGGAAAATTGCAACACGTTCCCTGTTTGAGTGGTCTCCTCTCCCCCAACGCCTGCTCCTGTTGGGGGATCTTACAAGTCTGGTGTGAGCAGGACTTTTAGAGATGGATTGCTTTAGTCCATTTCCTACATATTCCTTTCTTCATAAGCAAATCTGATTTGTACCTTTTTCCCCTTCCTCCATCCATATTCTTAAATCTACCACCTTTCCATGCTGGGACACATTAAGCTGTTGTTCTTGCTTTCAAGCTATTGAAGGAAATGTTATTCGCAGAATTGAAAGGAAGCTGCCTTCTTGGACTGATCTCAGTCTTTTCCCAGTATCCCTTAATTCAATAATGTACAGTGGTTTAAAGGTGATTAGTTATTGTGTTTTACAGTCTTGTTTCTTTTTCTTACGTTACACTTATTGTTCCAAAGAAGGGAAAGTTCTTCCCTTCAGAGAGATTTATAAAGACATTGTGCTAACAAGTTATTTTGAAAAAATCCCTGTTTGACTTACAAGACAGTATATGTTGTTTATTCTCCAGGGGCAAAAACAAGTAGTCCTTTCCGTTTTACTTTCCTTTTTCCTTTCCTTTATCCCCTCCCCTTCCCTTCCCTTCCCTTCCCTTCCCGTCCCTTAGCAGCTCAGTGCAACGGTGCATTACAAGTTTCAGTTTTTCTGCTGGTTCCTGACACGTGCAATTTCATTCGACCTTTTCATGCAGAGCGTTACACTTGGCAACAAAGTGGATGCTAAACGCCTCCCACGCTTTGCTGTATTCTCTCCTTTATCCTCCAGTGAGAGCAGCAGCACTTTGGGCAAGTCTCAATCAAGATATTTGTGCCCTCTCTCCTAAACTTCAGGCCACTTGGTAAAAGATGCTACTAATCTCCAGTTACAGCAACGTTGGCTGATGAAGTTTGTAGAAGTTCAATGTCTATATTTCTGCTACAGGGTTTGGGAGGGGGGGTTGGTTGGTTGGTGGGGTTTTTTCTTTATTAAACAACCTGGGCTTTTTAGGGCAGCAGAAATATTTTGTACTACTGCTAGGCCAAACATACTCCATCTCAACTGTGCAATGATTCACTTGCTTAGTATATACTGACCCTTAGTGGTAAGCTGAGAATTGAGTTGCATTGCCAAGTTTCTAAATTCTGCTTTTCTCTCTGGCCCAACTGTTCAGAAAATGGCAGGAATATTTGGCATGCATCAGGATAGTCTATCTATATAAATAGCCCACATTGTCTTCAACACACGTAACAGGCATGTTAAAATAAGGATGACAGGTGTTATTAGCTCTTCTGAAGAGGGTGTTGTGGGAAGCTGGAGTGTCGAAAGGTTATTCCAAAATGCAAAACAAAAACGTTGGCATTGAGAAGCAATACTCTCCACATAATGAGAAACAAATAAGAACTCAGTATCTGGCACTAACGAACACCTCAAGCGAACTGTGGAACGAGTATTAATTAGGTTTCCAAAATAGCATCTTTCTGAAAAGCAGCTGAGGTGTAATATTGCTCCTTATTAATCAAAGCAATGGGACAATGTGAACTCTGCAAAAAAATAAATGGTTTGCAGATGGCTGTGTACATCTTTAATAATGACAGAAGAGCAAGTTACAGCTTTAAATGCCAGAGAGCTTTTCTGCATCTTCTTCTTTTCAGAGAGCGATATTTGCAGTTTTCAAGGCAGTGAGGAAAGTGTGTTGGTTTCTTATTACATTTTCCCTGCAGCATAAATTCTGGTGATGTGCTTCTCTAATCATGCTAATTATACTGCCATATGTTGCTCTCATCTTTCCTTTTCTCTCCTAATGGGA